CACTACAAGCTCGTCTAAACATGCGAGAACCTGACGACATTCACAAACAGAAATGCACAGCGCCCCCACTCCAGACAGATCGGCTGCTCATCGCGGGCTTCAGAGCGACCTGCAGGGAAGCGGACCTGCCAGCGGAGCGCCAGGCACCAGACACCCGCCAACCTCCTGGTCGCAGGCAGCGCCTTCCTGGACCCGAGGCCCCTGACCCACCGCAGGGCCGCGGTGCAGCCGGGAGGCCCAGGGGCACCTGGGGTTCGCTCTCTGGCAAAATTAAGTGTGAACCCCTCCTCGCACTCAGCCCTTTCCAACATGGAGACCAAGAGGGCACTGGTTTTCAGAAACACATTCAAACTGTGCTCACGCAGGCACCGGCTCCCGCGTCTGCTGCTCTGCATGGAGACAAGCTCTGCGAGCTCCGGACAGGCTGCAGGCAGCGCCCACCCCGAGTGCAGGGGACACCCCAGGCAGGGACGGACTCATCTCAGTGGGGAGCGCCCCTAGCGAGACTCAGACAGGACCCCCCCAGGACAAATGGCCCACCCGCGCATGGGCAATGCCAACACCACGGACACAGAGGACGGAGACTCGTTCCCACGAACATACACAGTCAGACATGATGCGACAGAGACGGGACAGGCCACAGGGCACGGGGAACAGCAGCACGACATGGAAAAAGAAGGAAATTAGACCTCGGCGTTCTCCAGTTCATCAATGGAAATGAGCTGGAAGAGAGAAGAGGGAGAGAAAAGGAGGAAACGTTAGGACAGGCAGAGCCGGCGAGGGCGTGAGAACGCCGCCGCCAGCGGGTCTTAGCGCTGCTGCACAGAGCGAAGCCGTGTCAGAGGGCACCCTGGACGCCACCGCGCCTCCCAGGAGGCTGTCCCCGGGGCAGGCAGCAACACTCGGTCACGTGACCGGGGGCCCGGAACCCGCCTTTCCAGGTCTGCATGGACGTGGCAGTGCCCATCCTGAGGGCAAGGGCTCTGTCCCTGCCGAGACCCACGGGCTGGGGGAAGAGGGCGGGAAAGAGCAGGGAGAAGGCGGGGGTCAGACCCACTCAGCTCAGGAGGGAAGGCTTTCTTCCCACTCACTTGCCATCCCGGAGGAGGGGGCTGCGGTCCTGACCCAGTTGGGGTGAATTCGAACTGGCTTCCACTTCGCCAAGCAACAGACCCACAGGGTTGAGCCTCGCACAAGGCGGGTTCGAGCGGAGGCAAATGGGCATGTGCGTGGGCCCTCGCAGCTCGAGCCCACGTTGTTCAGGGGGGCTGTACGCCCCAAGCCCAGACTCTCTCAATCCCGGGGCTGCTCGTAATTCAAGAAAACACTCGGAGGCAGTGCGTGCCAACTCCAGCGATATTAGTAACCATCCATTGGCATCGAGTCCGAGAAAGACCAAGAGCTGGTCACACGCTGCCTGTTGCAGGACAGAGGGAGGACCTGAGGGATGATTATTAGGCTGCGCTAACATTTAGCAAATTTAGCTGCTGCTGAAATCGTGGCGCCTGGAAACGCTCACACATGCGTGCCTTCTTCAGAGAGAAAAGCAGCGGGTGGCCGCCAGGGGCTGCCGGTCTGCGTGAAAGGCAAACCCCAATGTTACCCGAGGTCACGGCTCTGCAGTAATGAAATCGCTACCCCCGCTCAGAGGGAACCTGGGGCTTAAATCAATCCCCAGAGATCCTTTTACATTCACTCTTGGCCTCCGAGTTTCTTTCCAAAACTCTGCCCAGTAACTTAACAGCAGCTTAATGAACGCCCTGTAGCCGCCTGGGAGGAGCCAGCACACAGGGCAGCCACGCCCCTTCCCTGCAGGGTCTGGGGCTTGAGGATCCCCTAGGAGTCAGGGACCGCGTCTGAGTCTATGTCAGAGACATGTGGCTGTGGGATGTTGTGTGTGTGTGTTTTTAAATATGTTTTTATCGACTTTGTTTTTAGAGACTCACACAGGTTCCTAGAAGGTCCTCCGCTGCACTCCCTGACGTCCCTACGGTATTTCCACTTTCATGGGAGGGATGCACGAGACTGGACAGAGCTGCCACCTGCCTCCAGCCTCTCTCTACTGGGGGCCGGATTCCTCCTCCTGCTGGCAGAGGCCTGAGCGGGTGCCTCCTGAGCTCTCCGGGATTCCGACTCTCATGGGCGCTCCCTCCCCTCCCCCTCACGCCCCGGAGGGCACCCTCGGGAGCTCTGTAACAGGGAGGGCCGCAGCCCCTCAGGGCCCCGTGCCCACGTGCTCCCAGGGGGCACCAGCGGGCAGGGAACGGCAGCGAGGAGTGGCCCCAGGGACCCTGGCGGACTCGCCCGCCAGCCACAGGCTCCCCAGCTCCCCACGCCTCTCCCTCCAGGGGACAAGGAAGTGTAACCCCAACTGGAGCAGCCTCGGGAGCTGGGACACCCGCTTACTCTAAGGACCTTGGTCACAAAAGGAGCAGAAATTCTAGAGAAAACTGTGGTCTCCACTGGATTTTTAAAATCCAGTTTTATGCCCCAAACGTGCAAGTATATTCACAGCTCGTTTAGGCTCCTCGGTGGACTCTGCTGTGTGATGGAGAGTGAATCTATGCCACTAGAATCGTACTCTACAAACAGTTTTAAAGCCTCTTTAAGAAAAAGAAAGCCCTGGGGGAATAGGTGGCTCCTCGTTCCTGCCTGGGGCACCCCGGCTGTCACCCCCGCTCCAGGCCTCTCCTCCTCATTCCTGCCTGGCACTGCTCTTTGCGTCTATTCTGCGCATTTATTAACGCTTTCCTGGCTGGCTTCTCCCCAAACTCCCACTGAGCTCAGATACTGATGTCCTAGTCAGTCAGCACTCACTCCTCTTCTAACGGACACACTTCAAATGCGGTAACAGCGAAGGGCCTCGTGGTCTGGGGCGGTGGAGGAAGGGGTGGAGGAAGGAGCAGAGGAAGGGACACTGCTTTTCAGTTTTATTTCTTCTTCTTCAAAGGCTCCCGTGGTAACGACAGGGGACTGACCGCCAGGTGAGACAGCCAGACGCCTGCAGCCTGTGCTGCTCGCCCCACCTGGCTGTCACCAGGGGACAGTTCCTGAACATCTTCACCTTTGAATGAAAACTGCTGTCATCTCAACGCAGGCCCAGGCCTGGGGGAGGGGGGGGGGCGCGATGGGAACGTTCTCCGCACACTCTCTCTCCCTGCACAGCCTCTCCCTGCACATCTTCGCTCCCCACACACCCTCTCCCTGCACACCCTCCCCCTGCAAGCCTCTCCCTGCACAGCCTCTCCCCGCACACCCTCTCCCTGCACATCTTCGCTCCCCACACACCCTCTCCCTGCACATCTTCGCTCCCCACACACCCTCTCCCTGCACACCCTCCCCCTGCAAGCCTCTCCCTGCACAGCCTCTCCCCGCACACCCTCTCCCTGCACATCTTCGCTCCCTGCACAGCCTCTCCCTGCACACCCTCGCTCCCATGCACACCGTCACATCCCAGGCCTGCCCGTGTCACCACCTCCAGTAGAAACAGTGACACGTTTGCCTGCCTGGGTTCCAGGCAGAACTGGGGGAGTTCGTTAATGCTCGGGAGGACCGTGCGACATCCCGGCAGGAGGCAGGTGAGCACAGCGTGCTCAGAGCAGAGCCCCCAGCCAGCACCTCACCTCCTGAGGCAGAAACGACATTGGCATCCGCACTGGGAATGTAAACAGATGGGAAATCTCATCACTCTTTCTCAACAACAACTTATGTGACCAGCGGCCTCTGAGCGAGAACTAATTTTTCTGCTTTAAAAGGAGTCAGTCTCGTCTTTCAGCTGCTCCAGGGGCCAGAGACGCGGCTTTAAAAACAGTGAACCTCTCGGTCACGTCACCGCGCCTGAACGGGGCGGCTTTCTAACCGTCCACCTGGGTTTCCCAGCGACGCCTGGCTCTAAGGTGGGACGCGAGGCGGTACCTTCTCGCCGTAGCCGCGGTCCTTGGTCATCATCTCCCGCAGCGTCTGCAGGACCTTAATGCACAGCTTCTCCTCGTTCTCCTCCAGCAGCTGTTTGGTGTGTTTTATCAGCCTGAGGGGGGGGGGGGAGCCACATGTTACATCCCTGCAAGGACCTTCCAGGAACAAAACACAGTTCCCGGCCACTTACGGGGACTCCCCAATTCATGAGCAAACACTGACCAAGGGCTCCCTGCGAACAGTCAGCGACGGTGTCTCAATGGTGCCACCTGCTGGTCGGTGACAGCAAACACACGCTACCCCGCTGAGACTGACCTCACAGAGAAAGGAGGAGCGGTCCCCCCATCTGCTGCTTATCCACTGAGGGCTGCCAGTCACGTGGCTAAAATACGCCGGCAGAGCCCAAGACCTCATGACAATGGCTGGGCCAGCACACGCTGCCCCCTTGTCCTTGGGAAGACTCAGAAAGGCAAACTCCAGGCCCAGCCCACGGTCAAGTTCAGCAAACAGCCGACCTCGGTGTCTGGCCTGGGACAGCTCTTTGTCTTAGCTGATGCCCCACAGCACAAACAAAGAAACTACGAAGTTTTAGGAAGGCTGTGAGGCCCCACAGGCCTGGAGAGTCTCGAGGGCAGGAGCGGGGAGACCTTTTTGGGTCCATGTCGCAGCCCACAGGGGGCGCTGTCGGTCCTTGCTGATTGGAAGACGCATGAACGGGGCGTGCAGTTAGAAGGAGGCATTCTCACCCTGGCCGCTTTGGCTCAGGGGATAGAACGTCGGCCCGCGGACTGAAGGGTCCTGGGTTCGATTCCGGTCAAGGGCACGTACCTCAATTGCAGGCGTGCGGGAGACATCAGTGTGTCTCTCTCATATCGATGTTTCTCTCTCTCTGTCTCTCCCTCTCCTTTCCACTCTCAAAATCAATGGAAAAATATCCTCTGGTGAGGATTACCAAAGGGAGACATTCTTGCCCAAACCACAGTGAACCCACACACTGGGACGGTGGGGCAGGACCGTGACCTTGCGCTCAGCAAAGCTGAAAACCAGGCCAGCATTTCCTTCCTCGGGAGCCACTGCTGGGTCTGGTCCCCGGGCCCCGAGACTGACCCCTGACCCCCGGGGAGGGCCGCTCACTTGCAGATGAAGCCCCCGCTCTCGCACTTCCTCCGGGCGTCCGTGTTCTCCGGGAAGAGCAGCTCCGGCCGGTGCAGCACGTCCACCAGCACCGACAGCTCGGCCTGCACCAGCGGCCGCAGCCGGTCCTCCAGCGCCGAGACGATGTCCTGGGAGGGAGCAGCGCGGTGAGCGGGGCGGGCGGGAGGGCGAGCACACACCTCTCACCTCCACACGCCCAGACACTCGCCGGGTTAGAGGGACCGACACACGCCACTCAACGCTGCCCTACGGTTACCTGACGCATCAGCCCCGGGCAGAAGGCAAAGCACACACAGGCCCACTCCCACCCGCCTCCTTTCCAGACGGGCTCTACGCTCCTCGAGGGATCGTCCCACCGATGTTAAAACTGGACGCGAGATACGTTCGACCGGCCACGTGGGACGATGTCCACGGTGTGAGCGCGACAAAGGGTCACACGGGGGTGTGGACTCTACGATCCAGCTTTTATAAACGTCAACTCTAAAGGGTACGCACCACCCACTATTCAGACACCATGGGCCCTGGCTGGTGTGGCTCCGTGGGTAGAGCGTCGGCCTGCGAACCGAAGGGTCCCGGGATCGATTCTGGTCCAGGGCACGTACCTCGGCTGCAGGCTCCTCCCCAGCCCAGGCCCTGGTTGGGGCACATGCAGGAGGCAACCAAACAATGTGTTTCTCTCACATCGATGTTTCTCTCTGTCTCTCCCTCTCTCTCCCATTCTCCCTAAAATTCAATGGAAAAATACCTTCGGGTGAGGATTAAAAAAAATAATATTTTTTAAAAAAGACATCACGGTGGCCTTGGTGGTGGGATGACGGGAGCTGCTGACTTTCTCCTCTGTATTGGCATTGAGTCCTGTCCAATTACGTTCAATGAGCATGAATTATTCATGGACTAAAATGTCATACAGAAATGAGAACACAAATGAATGAACATGCGGTATCAACATGCTAAGTACATGTACCCTGATAGCATGATGGTCTTCAAATGCAAAACACACAGCTGCAGTAGAGGAAAACAGAGAAGTTGAAAGAGCAGCAAAACCAACACAACAAACACCGTCTAAAGGCAAATGGCAGGAAACACATGAGAAATTATCTCCCAAAGATGCTGCCGCTGGCCGATGGCTCGGTGACGAGACCCTCGCCGGAGCCATCCTGGCTCAGAACTCGGCATGCTGGGTAACACAGGAGGAGCCAGAGAACCAAGGAGACTCAGATGGGAAAGGCCACTGACCTCGCATTCGCCCCAACCGGGGCCCAAATTTCATAGGTCGTGGTCAACGAAAAACCGATGGGTCTTTGGCCCAGAAACTAAACCTAAAATATGTGGATATAACTTTATCTTATGTTGGACAACATTCATAATCACTCGATAGTATTTAGAATGCATGAATGAATCAAACTAATTCCTGCAGGTGGGGGGTGGGAATTTCCCCAGTGGGATGGCAACATTCCTTAATTCCTATCATCTTTCCCCGCACAGTCAAAAAAAGAGGGTCACTGTTGCAAATCCTCTGAGGGTTTCATCAGTTTCCCGGAGAGGTTCCTCTTGGAAAGCACCCAACTTCCTCTCCTCCGATCCCATCGGTGCTGGTGCTAACTCACAAACCGCCACTCGTCGACAGCACGGATGGGATTGGATGGCGCTTCGACACCGTGCGCATGAAACCCGCCTCTTTGCCAGGTCTGGACCCGACACGGCGGCCGATTCGCACTGTATCGTCCAATGTATGACATCCGACAATCGGGGAGACCGACAGACAAAGACGGCGAAGCGATGGCAGGGAGAGGGCCAGGGTTAGGCGAGGGGCGTCTGCATGGGGTTAATCACACAAGCGTTGGGCCTGCGAGTGACTGTCCTCCCTTCCCGACCACCTCCGCTGTCCCGGGCGGTCTCCTAACGCCAGGGACTCAGACAAGAACGCAGTTGACGCCGAGGACCCGTTAGCCCCTGGCCACGTCTTCCTAACGAGCAGCACCTGCCCTTCTGAGTTTTATTTCACTCTCCAAGAACATGCTTACTATTCCCGCCTCAGAGGCGCATGGTCCCCAGGCGTCGGAAAGAAACCTGCAAACCTACGAGTAGCCTTTAAAGACCACGACTGTGGGGAGCTCTCCCCTCGCCGGCAGCTCCCCTCCTGGTCGCCCGACTGTCCGTGGGCCTCGCACTGCGCTCACTGCACTGCCTCCCCCTCCGCCCGCCTGGGCCTTTCTCTGGCTCCAGAAGCACAGCTGGGTGCGGGCCTCCCCCGCCAGGCAGGCTGGCTTCCCGCCGGCATTACCTGCAGCCTCTCGATGATGTTGCGGTAGTCCCTGGAGGCGGCCAGCACCGAGTCCCGGCGCGCCGCGTTGCGGGCGGACAGCCGCCAGTTCAGGGCCGTCTTCTGCACGATGTTGTGGGACTTGAGGAAGAGGTTGTTCACCTGGCTGTCCAGGTCCACGGGGATGGCGATGGCCCGGCTCTTGGCTGCGGAGAAGGCGACGCGTGAGCCTGCAGCCGTCTCGGGAGACGCCCGAGACGGACGGACCGCCCTCGCCCCCGCAGAGGCTCCGTGTGCACACGCGCCAGCTCGCGGACACCCAGTGTGAACGGGAGCTCAGCGGGCTGCCACCCTGGGGGGAGGCTCCCAACGTGAGTGAATTGGGCGGGGGGGCAGCTCTGAGGGTGTTAAATGCTCTGGGGGGTGGGAGGGAAGAGATCAACCGAAGGCCTTGCCTGCATAGATGCATAACCCTGGACACACAGTGTGGTCAAGGCCTGGGGAGGGGGGCGGGGCGGGCTAGAAGGGTCAAGGGGAAACGGGACGTCTGTAATACTTTCAACAATGAAGACGTTTTTAAAAAATGCTCTGAGGCCACAAAGTTCGGCAAGTCCAAATGCAATGGGTTTCGGCCCCAATATTGTGAGAATTATCAAGACAGGACACTCGTTTGGCCGATGCATTGTTTTCCCGCTCACCCCTGGGAGGCTAAAGGGACAGGGCACCCTGCTCCCCAAAGGCGCTCCTGGGGCATCACGTTTCCACGGGCTACGTGGACACCAGTGAGTTCCTGTGAGGGACCTCCCAGACCCTGGGTAAGCGCACGGCACTGGACGTGCTGAGAGCCGCACCGCCTAACAGGGAAGCTCGTTCTCCAAGCCCGTGTTTCTCGGGGAGAGACCGGCTTCTGGCTCTGGGAGCTGCGGCCTGGACGGTGACGGCGGATTAGGAACGGGGGCCTCGCTCCAGGCCGGGCTCTGCGCGGAGCCGCCGAAAAGACAGGGCAGCGGGGGCTTCCCTCACGGTGAGACGTGGGGCCCGACCGCGTCTTACCCACGTCGGAGAGCACGCGGATGCAGCCCTCCACCGAGGCCTTCTGGCCGGGCGCCAGCCAGTTGCAGTGGTAGACGCGGAACACGCCCTGCAGCAGCTGCACGAAGACCGGCTGGCGGGTCTGGAAGGGGAGAGGCGTGGGGGGCTTGTTGTGGATGGGAAATGGACCTGTCAGTGCACCTGCATTCACCAGCCCGCCCGCCCGGGTGGGAGGGGTGCCGGCGAGGACCCGGACTCCAGTGTCGCCCGGCCGAGCGTTTCAGGGCAGGGCACCGACTCGATGATGCCCAACCATTTCTGACCACAAAGGAGTGCAGGACCTGAAGCCTGGAAACAGGTGTTTCTGTCCAGGCT